AGGAATACATTATTGGCTATGAAATTGATTTTGTTAAAACCAGTGATTCTCTTGCTAGTGAACTTGAGGTGTCAAGTGACATAAAGAGTAAACATGATATGCTTCAAGTTGACCATGCTAGGCTTGTTGAGGGCTTTGAGCTCCTTGAGAAAAGCTCCAATGTTGTCAAATGAGAGCTCATAGCTCTCACCGAGTCATATGCTCCACTTAAAGAATCTACCTTTAAGTCTCTTGCCAGCATTGCTCCCATTGATATTCACTATGATGCCTGTTCTTCTAACTCTACACTCGACTGCTCCTTGAGGAGAATAAGAAGTTGAAATATCAGCGGAGAAAAGGTTTGTGTCTTGCATTCAAAGGGAAAATAACCTTAATGACCTTTAATCAATCGAAGGGAATATGTTTCTAAGGAGGGAATTGGGTTTGATCCTTACTCGAAGAAGAAGAAGAAGACGATGAACAAGAAGAAATATAGAGCTCCTCCTCCACAACAAAAGATAGCTTTTGTGCAAGAAGGGCACAATGAAAAGGAGCAGTGAAAGGAGAAAGTTGGGGATGGAAATGTTACTAGGAACAAGGCCATTCCCAATGACTTTGTAGGAAAGAGTTGGGGGAGTAGGATAGTTGCCGTGGAGTTTGTGCTGGGACCTGGATGCTGCTGAAGGTGGGCGACCATGGTCTAAGAAATAGCATCTGGTTTCGGCTAAGGGTCACTGGTTGTTGCAATGATGAGGTAGTAGCCAACGGTGGGAGGTTTGGAGTGGGCCACATAGGGACCACATTATAGGTTGAGATTGCAGGGTCAAGAACGGTCGATGAATAGCGGAGACTTGATGACTGTGGCGATGCTAGGGAGTTGTAGAGGTGAGGGACGGATGGATGAAGTTAGGTTTTTCATCATATATTTTGTACTATATGCTTTTGAGTCAATGTCATATAATTCATGGTCGTATAAGACGAGATATGATGATTGACTCCATGTTTGTTGTCTGAATATACATACTTTGTTTTTTTTACCCCGGTACAAAGGAAGAAAAGAAAAGAAAAAAGAGTACAAGCGGACTATCCAACTCCCGTTTTCTCTAACATGAAAACTAAATCAGTTGCTGGGAACTAAGATAAGAGGGAGTTCATCCATTGCTCTAGACAGACAATGTTTTTGCTTTTAGTTCTATGCTTAACTAGAGATAGATCGTGGTGCACTCCATGCTTCCATGCTTCCAGGCTCGGGGAATTGTTATGAATTTTTTCCCCATTCCTCTGCATTCATATATTCCAGCATCCCATGACAACAATGTCCATGGCGATCTGTGGTGGGAAGGCTTGTTTGAGGAGGAGGATGTCATCAAAAACAGATATCCCTCTGTGTCTACTTGGGGAAATGATGTCCCAACATGATAATGCAAACTGACAATCCCAGAGTAGATGTAAGGATGTTTCTTCAACTTGCTCTTGGCAGAGTGCATACTCGTAGCTTTGTAACAGGAAGTTCTATCTTTTGAGGAGATTTCTAGAGCTGATTCTGTGATATAGAAGGAGCCAGAAGAAAATTTTATGCCCGGTTCTGCTTGCAGCCTTCCACAAGTCCCTAAACAGGTGGTGTACCTCCGAGGGTCCTATCATTTGCTTATACATTTTACTGACAGAAAATAAGCCAGACTTCCACTCATAAGTCATAACTCCATGCATCAGCAGAATTTCCAAGTTGCTGCACAATTGGTGCAAGTTCATTTAGCTGCTGAAAAGCAATAGCAGAGAGAGTGGTGTTAGAGTTGTGTCGAATACTATTGTACAAGGTAGGTTACAGTTGGACTTGTAGTTGTATTGTGTTTAGATAGGATATAGAGTCGTGTCCTAGTAGGACACTTGTATCCTAGGCCTCTTATATAGCGGGAGTAGACACACGACGTAACCTATGCCAACATAATAGCACGGGCATGTGGGGGAGCCGGCGGCATGTGCCAGCGCCTGGGCGGCCAGGGTGCGGTATTGTGACGGTGTCATGGGGAGGAGCGCCCGTAGTCAGGCCCCGGGGATGTAGCCATATCGGTGAACCTCGTTAACAAATCTCGGTGTCGTGCTTGTGTGATTGCTTGGTCCTCGGTAGATCGATGAAGCGCCTCGGATTTATTCTAACAAGTGGTATCATGAGCAAGGTTCGATGTTCGAGATTGCGGAGTCTTTGATCTAGAGGAAGCGACGAAGACCGGCGGATGGTCACGGTGAACGTGCGGGTTCGCACGATTTCAGGAGGACCTCGGCAACGTTCGGAGATCGTCAGATGAAAAGCAATTAGGACGCACGAGGCGGATGCGTTTGTCAGGCGACAATTGCAGCGGCAGCATGCTAGATGCGGATCTCGGCAGAATCGTGCTGAAGCTGAACTTCTCGGCGTCTTGTTGTTGGCGAGATGCGATGTTGGCTGGCGGCACGTGCGGACTCCCTTGTCAGGGTGTGTACGCCGAACGCTCGATGCCCAGGCATGCGGCAAGTCCGCGGTTCAGGTGCGGGCGTGACCGACGCACTAAAGGACGTGAGGCCTAGTCGCCGGCGGGCGGGCAAGGCATGAGGCACAATGGCCTATGGCTGCGAGGCCCAGGCTGGGCTGTTTGGGAGCCGCGTGATGCAAGACACCGCGTGGGAAGCCGGCTGCGAGCAAATTGGTCTGACAGGAGCAAGGCATGAGATTTGTTGGGAAAAAAAGGGTGTCAAAGAACACCATGATGCGTGCATTGATGAGCAGGAAAGATAGTAAATCAAGTCTACAGTAGCCAGGTGTGGTGGACATGGAATTCTTTACACGGAGAAGGCTACAAGGGATGTTGTTTTGACTTTCTTTGCTTTGTACATGGATTGTACGTGATGGCAGCATGAAGGTGTGTCGAGACGCGGCGTCGCATGTTCATATAAGATCAACAGGAGTTGGCGGGTGGATCCACGGTTATTTTTTGGTCTGATGGCTACATGTTTTCTCAAGTGTTGATTGCTTGATTGTGTAGCGGAACGCCAAGTTGATGAAGATGGATGTGTGCGACGAGGATGGCGACGTGCGTATAAGGCTTGGAGGATCGAGTCTGAAGCGCGTCGTGGCAAGATCATGCAAACACAGGGCATCAAGCAATGCACGGAGATGTGTGGGCGGACACCACGCAGGGTAGAGCATGGTTGCAGTCGGGTTATTTCGGCTGGGTCGGACTGGACAGTCTGATGGATGTCGGTCAAAACAGAAGACGGCGGTGATTTCAGCGACGATGACATAGGAGCGTGATGCTGATGGTGGCCGACTTCTGGGGTGTGGAAACACGTGGTGCAGGCTTGAGGGCTTGTGCGGTTTCGACAAGACTAAGGCGCGGGGTTGATTCAAGGCAGTGTACACATGAGAGCTTGAAGTCGACAAGGCGCGGGGTAGCAAAGGCGCAGCTACATGGAGTCATGTTGAAGGTGGAGCTGGAGTCTGATGGATGACTTCACTCTGAGCTGATGGAGGGGCTACGGCGTAAGTTAACGGAGAGTCGAAGCCTATTTCAGCGGGATAGTGAGAGACACGTGGATCGGACTGGGTACCAGTGGTCTGATGGAGACGTGATACTCGGCATCGGTCGGTGATGATCGATGGTTCTCTGCAGTGGGGGTTGAGGCAGTGGGGGCTAGCTACCCGGGAGACTCGACCAGGACAGCAGAGGCTCGACGCGGTGATAGGGGCGAGGCGTGCAATAAGCACGGTGACACAGCGACAGGCCAAGGCACTAATGGTCAGACATGTGGTCAGACAAATTGTGCAAGGGGTGCTGAAGCAGTGTTGATGAGTACCGGATTCAAGTTGGTGACTGGGTCTATCGGTGCCGGAAGATGGACAGGAGTTGACCATGGAGAATCTGAGAAAGTGGCGGAGAGTCTGAAATTGTCAAAAGCTGAGAGAGTACATGGTCGTATATTCTGTGGTGTTCGGTGCACATGGCAAAGTGCGGATGACAAGTACAGAAGGAGGCGGAGTGCTATAGCTGTGGGATATGCCAGAGACTATCCGGGAAAAAAAAGGATGAGACAACTGCGAATTTGACTCAGGATGACACAGGGTGACGGTGAAATTCCTTCAAGTTTCAGACATACAGTTAAGGAGAGTGATGACGTTGAGTTCAGGTAACTCTTATATGTGGCATCCAATATGTGAGTTGTTCACTTTCACGCAGACAGTGGTCGGTGTGTGATGGCGTTGAACGGATTCTCCGGAAGTTGGAAGCACAAAGTAGAGTAATAAGGAACTTAATTTTGCTTAAGTATTGACTGTGAAGAAGACGAGAAGGGACTACAGTTGCAGGTGGAGTCACATGGAGTCTGGGAATAGTAGCGGTGCTCATGGTGTATCTCAAGTCCAATGTACATGGAGGTTTGACGCATGGACGAATTCAAGGTGGTGGAGAATATTCGCCAAGGTAGAGTTTGTTAGAGTTGTGTCGAATACTATTGTACAAGGTAGGTTACAGTTGGACTTGTAGTTGTATTGTGTTTAGATAGGATATGGAGTCGTGTCCTAGTAGGACACTTGTATCCTAGGCCTCTCATATAGCGGGAGTAGACACACGATGTAACCTATGCCAACATAATAGCACGGGCACGCGGGGGAGCCGGCGGCGTGTGCCGGCGCCTGGGCGGCCAGGGTGCGGTATTGTGACGGTGTCATGGGAAGGAGCGCCCGTAGTCAGGCCCCGGAGATGTAGCCATATCGGTGAACCTCGTTAACAAATCTCGGTGTCGTGCTTGTGTGATTGCTTGGTCCTCGGTAGATCGACGAAGCGCCTCGGATTTATTCTAACAAGTGGTATGGAATTGTTCCACAAATATACTTTGATGCTGTACACACTTTGATTGATGCCACCAATAGCTTACATGGTTGTTGAGTCACTAATGTACATTTTACTAACACAACAATAGCCTGTACATATTACGTGCCAACTGTTGGTGTATGTGAGATGGTCATCCTTCGCATGCATTGCTGCTGCTCACTTACCGAAGAGCCTCTGGGAGACGAAGAAGCCTAGCGAGAAGGCGGCGACGCCGACGGCGACCACCTCCTTGTTCTTCCTCGCAATCTCGAATGTGTTGTCCGCCCACTTCATGTCTGTCAGCCCCTTCAGCTCCCCTACAATGCGCTCCTTCCAGGCGGTGCATGTCGCCGCCGCCGCCTTCTTCTCGTGCTCCGCTTTCGCGTCCATGGCTGTCGGCGTGGCAGCTGCCTTGGCCCTCACTTCCTCGCCGTCACCGCACAACCTAACCCTGTCCTCCAGGCTCTCCCGGTCAACTGCCGCCTTGTCCTTCTTGCCGATGGCAGACCCTTGCTTCTCGGGTGTCGCCGCAGCTGCTGTTGCCGCTTGAGGAGCCTTAGGCCTCGGGTGTTGGTCCTTCTTCGCCGCCGGTGCTGGCTTCTTCTCTTCCTCTTGCTTGCGTCTGTTGGCCTCCTCTTCCATGCGCTGAACGCGCTCGGCGACCTGCCGAGTCGTCCGGCTGAGCACGCTCTCCTTGGGCTCGGCGCCGCCAACCTCTGCGGGTGGCGTCGGCTTGGCAGCCTCCTTCGTGGGCTTGCTCCTGATCTCTTCGGTGGACGTCGGCGGCGCACCGTCCTCCTTGTCCTTGGCCACACCGGCACCGGAAGAGGCGAGCTTGCGCACGGTGAGCGTGAGCACGCCGGCCTCGAAGCGGCCGGCGATGTCATCAAGGCTGGCGGTTGCGGGCAGCTGGAAGACCCTGTAGAGGGAGGAGCCCGGGCCGCCGGCGCTCGGCCTGGTCGCCCCTCGCACGGTGAGCTTCCCGGTGCCGTCCACCTGCACCCGGAAGTCTTCCTTCCTGAATCCCGTCAGGGTGAGGCGGAGCACGTAGCTGCCCTCCTTCTCCGCCCACTCGAACTTGGGGTCCACCACCGTCGCCACCGGTGTTGCCGTGGGCTGCTGCTGCTTGGTACCGGTGGCCGCCATGAAGAAGCGTAGGCAAGGAATCGCGTTGGCCTGAGAGTGGTGCTAGCTAGCTCTGTGGCGCTTTGATGATCGAGAGGGGAGATGAGAGGGGATGGTTGGCATGATGCGCCGTGTATATATATGAAGGTGTTGGCATGGCGATATGGTTGATTCGAAGCTTGGGCTCTGAGGAGGAAGGAGGAAGGACGAGATTGCTGTATGGAATTAACCCGGCCGACCATGCATGGATGCATACGTGTAGGTAGGAAGAAGTGTAGCTTAGCTTGCAAGCTACACCCATGGAGTCGTGCTCCGCCTCCATGGGGAGGGAAGGTTTAGGGATATTTGCGCGGGAGGGTAAATGGAGGTGAAGAAAGAAAGAAAGAAAGAAAGGAGAATGCTTCGGGAAGCTAGCTATGGATGTGAAGAAGAGATGTGCATCATCGTGGCGGCCAAGCTATGTGCGGCCGGCGATCCATGGGGTATGTCACTAGCACCCAATTGGATATGCATCGCATCTTAATTCTATCTCACTTCAAGTATATACAACTTTATTTTTTTGAGCGCCAAGTATATGTAACTTGTGTAAGATGGTGGCACAACTTCTGGATGTGCATTCTTCCACCTGGCGAGCGCACGCATGAACGGAGGACGGACTCTCGGTCAAAAAATAAAATCCGGGCATATTCGTTTGTGTTCTTACGGAAAAATGCCAAAACCATTTCGATTTTCTACCTATATATTCTGAAACACACTAAGGCAAAACCCCTTCCAATCATAATAGATTTCGCAAAAAATAAAGAATAAACACGCGCCATCAGATTTTCGAAAAACCTTATCGATGGAGATATATCTTTTTTGGGGGAGATAAAAAGGTTTTATCCTTCCCCACAGCTGAAAGAAGGTTCATGCAGCAATTATCACATTGATTCCACATGCAGAAAAACTATCCAATTATTTGTTGCGATATTTTTATCTTGGTGTACAGTAGCTAACTTTGTCATTCTATTTTCTAACTACTTTGTTATTGTCTTTCAGCCCAGAGTTTATCGTGTTGTTCTACCATCTACTGTATTTCACAATGGTGTTGTCTACTATATATATGTGCATATGCTTTGTCCTTTCATAACTTGACATATTTGATATTTTTTCACTCTTTTCCCAGTCCAAACGAAACCGAAAGAAAGTAATCCGCAAAATAACCACGCAAAAAAAAAAAAGTAATCCGCGGCTGCAACTGAAATCAGGCCCTGGGTCAGTGCTGCTAAAACAGGCTTTCTTTCGGGAAGTAGGACAAGAGGGTTTTGCACGTGTTCGCTACCATGACTGACCCGCGATGATTATATCACCCTACAATAGTTTTGTGGAGCAATTTACGGAAGCTTCTATGGGCCGGTTTTAGAAGGTTCCATACGGTTTTTTGTTCTTATTTTTCTATCTTCTCTTTTCGTATTTTCATTTTTCTCTTATTTTCTTCATTTTTGTAAATACATACAAACTTTTTGAAATATAGGTTGAACATATTGTAGGTACAAATTAAACATTTTTCAATTACACACTGCAATATTTTCCGAAATACACATTCAAAAGTTATCAAATACCCATTGAAAATTTTCCAAATATATGGTTAACTGCTTTTCATAAATACCATAGACGTTTTTCTAGAACAAGCTAAACATTTTCTTATGTGTTCGAACAATTTTTAAGATGTATTAATATTTTTAAATTAGAATATTTTATTTCTAAATTGTACAATCATTATTTACATTCAGTAAATATATTTTAAAATCTCGTGTACATTTTTTTATTGTAAGATTATTTTTCTCAATTAGGTAAGAACTTTCTTAGATTTCATAGATATATTAAAAAAAATATCACGAAAATATTTCTGAACACAAAAACTTTCGAGAAATACTATAATTTTTTAAATGGTACTAAGAAATTTTCGAAATTTTATATACATTTGATTAAAATGTCACAAAAGTAATTTTGAAATGCCTGAACATTCTTTTCAAAAGTCACAGTATTTTTGTAATGGAACAAAACACTTTTTTAATTACATGAAAAAAATGCATTGCAAAAATATTGTAAATGTCACTCCTATTTTTAATGTCACAATTATTATTTTGAAATGCGTGGACATTCTTTTAAAATTCATAATATTGTTTATGATTAAAACTAATAATATTGTTCTTTATTAAAAGTCACAATTTTTCTTTTGGATGGAACATAACACTTTTTTTTTTATTTTACATGAACACTTTTTACATTGCATAAATATTGTAATTGTCACTCATTTTTTAAATGTCACAATTATTCTTCTAAAAGTCACGATTTTTTTCTTAGAAGTTATAATACTGCTTTTTATTAAAAGTCACAATATTTTTAGAATGGAAAAGTACATTTTTAATTATATGAACATTTTTACATTGCATAAATATTTTAAATGTCACTCATATTTTAAATGTCATTTTTTCAAATGCGCATATATTTGTTAAATATCACTAACTTATTTTAGTGGTACGAATAATTTAAAATTAGCGTGAACACGTTTTTTGCACTGCATGAACATTTTCTAACTGTGAATCACCGGGCCAGAACATTATTATTAAGTAATTCTGGACAATATATATTTTGAATATTTTGAAAATTAGGACAAAAGAAAAAAAAGAAGGAAAATGAACAAACGAACAAACTATGAAATAAAATTATGAGGAAAAAGGAGACAAACCGGCTACTGGACCAACCCAATAGAAGTGAGTCGAGAATTGCCCTGAGGCGGGACGTGTTATTTTGTTTTAAACCTAAAAAAAGAGTGGTCCCTTTTTTTGAGGCAATGCGAGTGGTCCTTTTTTTTAACAAAGTAGAATCAAAGTCGCTCACATACACGAGCATACAGTCACCCGTATGAACACACGCTCGCACACCGTACTCCTATGAGCACATCCGAGAGATTTAGCCGGCATAGCATCTTGAGATTGTACGAAGTCACCATCGCGCAACCACAATACCCCACCTCTCGCACACCCACGCGCAACCACGGTTGCATGTGTTTTGTTTCATTTTTACCTAACCTTTTATGAATTTTTACTTTTAAAAGGCGATCATTTTTTAGAATTACACAAACATTTTGAAAATATGCTAGTATGCTTTTAAAATTTCATAAAATTTCTTTGGAATGTATGTGCACCTTTTGAGTCTTTCATGAACATTTAGAAAAATTAATAAACACTTATTTTTCATATTTGTGAACATTTTGTGTGTGTGTGCATGAACATATGTTTACAGATGCACAAACATTTATTCTCACAACACTTTTTGGAATATAGGGAAATATTTCATTTATTCATATCAATATTTTACCTACAGGAAAAAATATGCGCATGGTAGATATTTAAAATTTTAACAACATTTATTCTCATATGATTTTTCTGTTCAAGCAAAATAATAGTTTATGTTTTATTAAAAATTTAGCCTGAAGGTGTCAAAGTTGTGATTTTATCTAAATTTCACTTCCAATAAAAGGCCACATACTCACACAATACTATTTCCTAGTACTCATGTACTACACGAGATAACTAATCTATTATCATTATCCAACAATGCAGACTACTTCGCAAATGAAAAATACTACGTTAACTTTCAGCTGCTTGGCCCCAGAGGCGGAGTCAGGATTTCTCAAAGCCTAGGGCTAAAACTAACTGACTAAAAATAACGTCAAATAGCATGCACACCAACATGTGCTAGAAGTATGGCACAAATTCACATTAAAGATGAAATGTAAATTCCTTATTACCATGAGAGAAAATTCGATAAAACAAATAATTTAACAAAGTGCATTTTACAAACATTGTTTGGTACCAAATTGATGAAGACTTGCTTAATTCTAGGCAATTGTTTCTTCACCAGCAATAGTAGAAAGACCTGGAGCTGCAAACATAAAATCGAGTATTTAAAATTAAGACACTGGACATATACTTAAATCAATTGTTCGTATGATATTTTGCAAAAAAAAAACCCATTGTCACGAAGTGCACGAGGTAGTAGCCCCTTTTGTTTCCTCATTTTTTGATAGCACTGTATAATCTTAATATCATCAATGCTTGCAAATACATCACGCTCAATATAGCACACCAAACGATGATTCATCCATTCATCATTCATCTTATTCCGCAACTCAGTTTTGACAATGCTCATAGCTGAGAAAGCTCTTTCTACGGTTGCTATAGTGACAAAGCAGAATCAAGGATTTTGAACAATATTTCCTCTTCAATTGTTCGAATCCTCTTCATCTTGGATTTTGAACAATATTTCCTGTTAACAAATAACAATGAAATAGAAGTGATTAAAGTAATATAATTGAATGTCACAAACTCATTGACTTGGGCAAATAGAAAGAAAACTAGGAAAAATTAGATGACAGATACAACAAACTGAAGATTACCTGTCCTGTCTTGCTGTCTAGCCGATTTTGAAGATGAAAAGGAAGAAGGGCTGGAGCCCGGAGGGCACTGCTAGGAGTCGACGAGGCGATGATCCGTGCTCTGAGTGACAAGCACCAGCCGCCTGGGCGCAAGTACAGACGCGGGACGCCGATCTGTCCCGTGGGAAACGGCGAGCGGCTGAGGCGACACAGCTGTGAACGGAGACGTTTTTTGATCAATTGGGCGAAAGATGAGGCGAAACACTGGACGATTGATTCCTTAGAAATCGCTACTAACCAAACCAACTGTGGTGGTCTCGAGTCGTGGCATAGGACATCTCCATTGGGCTGGGAAGTGGGAACTTACGTGGGCTGAACATGGGGCTGTGCTTGCACGCCTGGGGCTGGGCCTTGTATGTATATAAATATAAAAAAGAAACTAATGAATGTATGCCTACTAGATGGGCCAAGCCTGGGGCTATAGCCCCAGTTGCCTCAGGCCCAATTCCGCCCCTGCTTGGCCCCAAGTTGGAGGCGTGGTTTTTGTTGGCGGTCCAGGATGGGCGACACTCCAATGAATAAAAGGTAAATAAAACAA